AATTGTATTAACATATAAATTTGATCTTATAAAAAAGAAATGTTGTCCACCGCAGGTAAACTACACCTGTTATACTGGCCAAGTCAGGCCCCCCCATATTTATAACTAAGGCATTGCCACCCTTTGATAACTGGTTAAAATGCCAATAACAGGCTCAGAGTGCGTGTGTATTGAAGGGGCACTGTTAATGGGGAGGAAGGATGAAATATTTTAAAATATCTAAAATTTGAACCTATAAAATTAACTGTGCATTATAAAGATAAGTATTAATAGTAATGATGTACAGTCACGGCAGGGTTATTTTAGGATTCACCGCATCAGTTGAGAGCATCTTTTCGGCACTTTTCACTTTCTGATTAGTCCCAGTCATGTTAGAGAAATAGTTCATTTGTCTTAAATTTATTAGAATGGTGTTGGAAACTGCTTCTCAATACATCAGTAGCAACAGGTGTCAGAGTTTAAGTTCTCCAGCATCCTAGTCCTCACATTTGTTTTAAAAACTATCATTCTTAGCAAGATTTACAGAAACCAGTTATTCTATTTGGGCTTAATGGTGTATGACAGGGTTTCTTGACCTCAGTATCATTGATGTTTTGGGCCAGAAAATTCTTTATTGTGGGGGACTGCCCTGTGCCTTGGGGAATGTTCAATACTATAACATCTCTGGCTTCTACTCACTGAATGCTAGTAGCATTCTGCCTCGTCGTGACAACCAAAAGTGTCTCCAGACATTGCCAAGTGTCCCCTGGGGAAAAGGACAAAATCACTCCTGATAGAGAGTGATTTTGAGAACCACTGAGAACCACTGTGTACAAATTATCCTCAAGTGAACCTGGGAGAGAGATGTTCCCTGCATTTTCTTTAAGATTCTTATCTGGAATCAAGGTGAGACTGTTGTTTAGATGTGTATTCACTTTCTGCAAATCTTACACTTTAGTGCTAACCTCACAAATAATAGAGGCTCATTACGTACATGTTGACTGATGAAGATGAGGATTGTCCAGATATTCGAATATGGTTCCCTCTTTTATGTCAGGAATACTGACCTATTATCTTTCTGAGTGTTCCCTTCCAAAAGTCCATAGCGGTACAGACATTGAGCAAAATCTGCTCTAAGGCAGATCCATTATTAACTCAAATTTAGTCAAGAAATCCACATCTTACCACTTATTTGATGACCACATTGCTTTAAGGAATGTCCAGAAATTGCATTTGTTCGATGCACTCTTGGCAGGGTTCCTGTAACACTATCTTTCAAGAAGCAACCAAACCTGTTTGTAAAAGTAGCTTCACTTAGGAAGTAGAATAATAAACATACATTGAGGAAATGTCTAGCATTTTCTATACACTAATAAATAAAGCCTAGAGTAGGAAAAATAATACAGCTTCTCTGACACTTGCTGAAAAGAACTTTCTTAGAGGTAATTTTATAATATCTAAGGTCTCTGTGATACCTAACATCAGTATTGTTTATCTTTACATTCATAATTTTTTAAGCATAGAAAGACAACCATATTGAAGAGTTAATGATTTTTCTTGTGTTCCTAAACTTTCAGGCAGATTTGTTCCCAGCTGATGATTGTTTTTGTAAATACTTTCATTTACTTAAAAAGTTAAATCAGTCATAAAAGTTAGATATGTGTATAGTGTTCATCTTGCTTATTAACTCCTTATAGTCTACACTTAATGGAAGACTTCTATCTTAAACATCAACCTTAATGTTAATTTCATTATTTACAAGAATTCTAGAACCTAACTCAACTTTCAATATGATGACTGTCACATAAGTCTGGGTTTTCTGTGAAAGTTTAATATGTAGAATCAGAGAATGAATATCCACTTCTTAATTCTTAAACTCAAATAAAATGAAGATGAGAGAATAGAATTATGGATATTGAAATGGGAACAACAAAGAAAAGTTCATTCTGGATAATGATCAAAATGAAAGAAAATTAAGATGAGACTGTGGTTGTGCTTAATAAGCATTTTTCATGACCTAATAAGATTTTTAATTACCAATAATTTTGCCAATACTCTTACTTTTACAAATTTCCAGTTAATAATACATATGCAGGTGTGCACGAACACGCATGCACACACACACACACACACACACACACACACACTCACACTCCATATGTACCATCATACCACAGATGCCCAAATCAGCTCACTATAGACACCATTCAGACCCACCCTCTCCCAAGATCACAAGTTCTGGATCTTACTCAATTATATTCTCAAAAAATACTTGTCTTTTGTCATATTTTCTTAGTACTGTGCTATCCACAAATGTGACTATGGATCAGACAGTTATTTCCTTATTCAGATGAAATGTTCACCTGTTATTAGATCCTGTCCATTTATGACACAATCTCTTAACCCAGTGATTTTCAAGCATTTTTCCTGAGGCTTTGGATAGAAAACGACTGGCTTCTACTGCTTTAATGAATGCAATGATTGTTCAATTGCAGATTTCCAGGCCCAGGAGATTTTGGTTCAGTAGGTTTGGGCTGTGGCCTAAGAGTCTGTGTTGGTATGAACCAGGTGATTCTGATGAAGGGTCCTTGAACCCCGTTAGAGAAACAACCCTGAGATATGCTATACCTTTTTGCACACAACTGATTCCACCTTGAAAAATGACTGACTTCTCCAATAATGAAATATCAACTTTTACCTCTTCCCTGCTTCCTTAGTTGAACTTGCTGGAAGAAAACTGAATAGCAAACACTTAGCGTGGAATGTGCACACCATCTGGCAGTGTTGGGCACTGGGGGTGTACACAGCAGTTAGATCCCCACCTCTGAAGAAGGAGTTTTCATATAGTTGAATCAGACATCCTGTGATATAATCATAGAAAAATTGCAAAAAATAATTTTAATAAAAATACATCTGTGTTCTTAACCTTCTTATCTCGTCCACTGACCACCCAAAGATCTTTATGAAATAGTTTAAGATGACTATTTGAACAATGTATGTATGTTATTTAAAGTCATTTTCTGGGTACCTCTGCATAAAAAATTTGATGGATTTTTATTAAATCATACAATAATTTGCAGATAAATTATCCATAATAAAATGTAATTATAGCTTAGTTTCTCCTTGTTGCCTACCATGTGATGAAAATTTCATTTCTTAAAAATAAAAATATTTGATCTATTTTTAAAACACTTTCATGACAACTCTCTAAGGGAAGTTAAAGGCAGGCCTTATTATCTGCATCTGACTTTTTTTCTTTTAAGAAAGAAGTCTCAGGGCACACAGACTTTCCCTAAATCCATACACCTAATTCATGTCCTGGGACATAAATCCAGCCCTTCTGACTCCCAATCTTGTCTCCTTTTTTAGCATACAATGTCAAATGTCGTTCCTCATCTCAGTTTAATTCCAGCAAACTGACAGTTATTAAATGTTTGTTTTTTACATGCTCATTTTTTAGATAGTTTAAGCAAACGCATGCATATGCTAAATTGAAAATAAATTTTGAACTATTTGCTGTTTGGAATTAATCCACAGCTCTAACGTACCTTGCACCTCACATATTATTAGAGAATTAAATGTCTTTACTGGCTTTAAAATATGAATTTGGATTTACCTTGAAAGACCCACTTCAAAGTGTGCTTACTAAGCTTCTCAGCTCAGGTACTGTGTTCATTTTAGTCAGTCAACTGTCCATTTAGCATGCCATATTCCAATGATAACCTGGTCTATTCCCTAGAGCAGTAGTCACTTCAATTTAAATGGCATCTATTTTTGTATCGCCTTTCAGGGAATGGGCAGGTTAGACAACATGCATTTCATTAAGCACTGAAGATTAACATTTCTCTGCACTATCCTGCTCCTCTGGGGATTTTGGCTCTGGGCCCCCCTGTGACAATTCAACCCCGCAAGGTTGCTTCTCTGCCTCTCAGAGGTGTGGCTAAGGTGACTACCTCTTGGGTGAGGTTTATATCTGGAAAGAGCACAGATCTCTTCAGGTGGAAGCTTCTGGGAATACAAGTGTATTGCCTAGATTTCACATATACACAAAACACCAAGTAGTTGGTCCAATAGCAATGCTATCTAAAATGAGGTCTATTTTTAGACAGTATTTTTGTCTGATTCCTAATTATCAAGCTGTCACCCCTCCCCCCATCCCAATGCACATACAAGGGTACAAACAAAAGCTGTTGCTAGCCTGGGAGCTCCTGTTCTGCAATTGAGCATTTGTGAACTGCCGTGTGACTCAGCTGATGGAAGACGGTGACTAGGAATATACCAACTTCAGAGTTGAATGGAAAGAAACTTTTATTAATAGTTGTTCTTGCTTATTCTTACAAGTTGGTAATGATGGCGATGGTGAGGATGACAATGACAGCCTTGTTTGTATTGTATTTAAAGTGCACGGAAAGCACTGTTACACACATTAGCTAATAACAACCATGGCGCTCACAGCTTTCACATGGGCCCCATTGTCCATGGATGCTGGGTAGCTTATTCGGTCTTGTTAGAAAATTGCATAATCAATAAGAAGAAGGAAAGCATTTTAATTTTTAAAAATTAGGTGACAGTCCCACCAGCAGGGTAAGAGTGTTCCTGTCTCTCCACATCCTCACCAGCATTTGTTGTTTGGGGATTTTTTTGATAGAGGCCAATCTCACTGGGGTTAGACGATATCTCATTGTGGTTTTGATTTGCATTTCTCTAATGATTAGAGATGTTGAGCATTTTTTTATACATTTGCTGGCCATTATTCTGTCTTCTTTTGAAAAGTTTCTGTTCATGTCCTTTGCCCATTATTTTCCTGGATAGAGCTTGAGCCCATCCTCCGAAGTGAGGTATCACAAGAATGGAAGAATAGGCTCCACATGTACTCACCATCAAATTGACACTAACTGATCAACACTATGGTATTCACACAGTAGTAATATTCTCCAGGGATTAGAGGGTTGGGCAGGGGTAAACTCAGAACTAATGGATGCGGTGAGTACTGTAGAAGGGAAGGGCATGCTTCTAATCCTTGCTTGGGTGAGGCAAAGTCATAAAGTGTAACCAAAATGTTTGTACCCTCATAATATCCTGAAATAAAATAAATAAATAATAAAAAGAAAAAAAGGGAAAAAAATTAGGTGACAGACAGAAAGGACAATTTGCAAAAGAAACACAAACGACTAGTTAATTATATGAAAAACGGTAAGAAATCACAAATACAGGCAAGTTAAAACAGCTAGATGCCATTTTACCCATGGGATTAGCAAAACTTAAAAATTACATAACCAGCGTTCGTGTACTGATTTTCCATTGCAAGTGATAGAAAACCTAGTTCAAAATGGCTTGAGTGCAAATGAAATTTACTGGTTCAGAAACCAAAAAGTCCGTAGCCAGTCTGTCTCCATCCATTTGCCCTGACCCATGGTATTGCCACTGGTCTCGAGCTCCACAAAGTAACAAGATAGTACCAGCAGCTCAGACCTCTGCATTTGCTTTTATTTCAAGTCAAGTTGCGGGGGGCGGGCGGAAGTGTGTTATTTCTAGAGTTTAAGCGAAAGCCTTGTGGTGAGACTTTGGCTCTGACCGAGTCACTGCAGCCAGCAGGGTGTGTGCACTTCCTGGGTCAGGCCTGGCTGGGCCATAAGCCCCAGGGCTGGTGTCCGCAGCAGCAGCAGGGGCAGCAGAGCCACGTGGACCAAAACTGGGAGGCAGCAGCTCCCCAGAAATAAATTAAGATACTATTTCCAGAAAGGTGAATGTATGCCAGGCCACGAAACAACAGATGCCTATTAGAGTTGGCCTGACTGGAGTAAATGAACACGCTTATTAAGCTGGTGGAAAAAGTCAACTGGGGAATAACCTCTCTGAAAGACAATTTCATGATACATGCCATCAAATCTTCAAAAATTTTCACACATTTGTATCTAGTATTTTTATTTCTAAAAATGTATTCTACAGAAATAATTGAACATGTATGTCAGAATGTACATACAAAAATTCCATATAAAGGAAAGAATCCCAAGCTCCAAAAAACATGATACATACTGTTTTGCATTAAAAGATAGCTATAAATGGGAAACGGGAGTTAAAAGAGTATCTGCAATTAACATCTGTGTAAATGTGTAAATGGTATATGTAGAAAAATATCTGAAAGACTAAACAGAAGATTTTTAACAATGGCTATTTCTGCATTAGGGGACTACAAGCAATATGTACTTTCTAATTTTCTGCTTATTTACACCTCGAATTTTTCTAACATAATCGTTTTTTTGTTTGTTTTGGTTTTTTGCCAAAGATAAAAAAATGCTGGTCCACAGCATTTCTGGCTTCTAGTCCTTCCTGGCATTCATTGGATTTGTACACGCTAATGATTATGGTTCTGAGGGTATTAGGGTTGAGGGGACAGATGGAGGGGAGTTGTGATTTAGGGGGAAAAAAAGCTTTTTCCTGAAAAAAATTATATCTCTATACAATGTAAACCTTATGCATAGGTGTTTATCTTTGCCATACATCTGGGAGGTAAGTAAATGTGGCCATCTTAAGTCACCATAGACTCAGAATTATGATACCAAGAAAACATCACTCTTCAACGATTAATGAAAAACAGTGCCTAGAATCATTCTTATTCTCTGAAAATCAATGGAATGGATAGAGAACGAAATAAGATCGAAACCTGGCATTGAGGACTATTCGTCTAGAACTATTCAAATGGATGGTTTACTAAGTTAAATTTAAACCAGACACTTTCATTTCTGAAATGGTTCTCAAGTGGCTGAGAGTAAGAGTATGTATTATGTACCTATCAGATATTTGGATTAGACCCAGGCACCATAAAACATCTGGTATTCTATTGAATTTTCAGGTAAAGTTTATTTTTTTAAATGTTGATAATAAAAATAGAGGGCTAATTTTTTGTTTTGAGATGGCTTTGTAGAGCATCATCTCCAAACAGAAGTTTTTGTTAACACAAGCTCTAAGATATTCTCACTTCTAAGCTCCTCCCCTTGGTCTGCAAGGTGTGTCTAGGGCAATACATCTGGTAAGTGGTACTTGCCTCCAAACATTAAAAGAGTATGTGTCCTCAATTAGCAAGAGCTGTCTCCTTCCCTAAAGCTGTACGTTCAGTAGCTTTCTCCAGGGGTGGTTTGTCTTGCTTATCTACTCCTCTCTGGCACATCCTTAATTTTATGTTTTGTAGATAAGTCACTTACCACAGGAAACTGTAGCAAACAAGGAAATGAAATAAGCTGTTTGCCTGAATGAAATCATCCTAAAAAAGAAAACAACACATACATAATCTGCTGGTTTTAGACCAATTTAACATATATTTAACATGAATCTTAATTTAAGGTGATATATATTTTGCTGTGAATGTCTGAATTGCAAAGCAAAGCGCACAGTTACAAGTATAGCGAACAAGGGTTTCTGTACATTTTATGTCTAGGGACTTGAAAAATTTATAATGCTTCCCAAGGTACAAATTGAGACCTCTAGACTACTGTTGTGTTTATTGCCGATTTTCCACCTCTGTTGCTAGTCGTTTTGGAAAAAGAATTGGTAGAGATAAATTAAAGAGTTATAAAACATCTTGATTTGAGCAAAACAAAAATTATTGTAAATAATGGCAATAGTACTAATCCAAAATTCCGAAGTAAAAAAAACTTTGAAAACGCTAAAGCCCATTTTTAAAATTTTAAAACAGTCAAATATTAGCTTTGATTTTGAAATATCTTACATTTAAATATTTCCACATATAATAACATTAGTTCCTTCTAAACTCTCTAAATAATCAGGAAATTAGAACATAAACTAAGAGTTTCTTCATAAAGTAAAAATTATAGTTCAACAGCCTCACTTTATTTGGAAGCAATCAAAATAGAAATTTGCTACCTGAAGGCACAATTGCTTTTGTGGTTCTGGAGATGAGGAAGTCTCTTGCCACTTAAAAATGAACGGTCTTCAAGCTGTTCTAATGTGGCACTGCAGGCAGTATTTGCTTGGCTGTAATATTGACTTTGGGCTTCTGCCAACAGTTTCAACTTTTTGTCCTGTCAATATACTCCATGAACACCCTATTTCTGTGTTCAGCTATTAAACATTAACTATTTCGGGGAGTGATGTCAGCAAGATGGCAGAATAGGAGTTTCCCGCACTCATCCCCTTATAGAAACATCAATTTGAACAACTATCCATGCACAAAAATAACTTCATAAGAGCTAAGGAATCCAAGTGAAAGGTTACAACACCTGGTTCCAGTACAGAAATAAGAAAAGATGCATTGAAGAGTATAGAAAGAACAGTTTCATGTTACCAGTGTTACCCATCCCTAAGCCTGGGCAGTACAGCATGGAGAGAGATACTCTCTGCATAGGGGAAACAGAGTGAAGCGAGCACCCAACTTTGCCACAAATCTCAAGGACTAAACCCATCCCACTAAATCCCAGCACCAGCCCAGCACCTGCAGTCCCAAGGACCATGCTGGCACCCACAGACCTAGTCTCCAAGCCCACCGCAGTGTCAGACCAGCCTCTGTGGCCCCAGGCCCAGGCTTTCCCCAGACTGGGCAAGCCCGTGGGGCTCCAGGCCCCAAGATGGTCTTCAAAGACCTAGACTTCAAGCCTTCTCCAGCTATAGCCTGGCCTCCATGACTCCAGTCTCCAGACCAGCCCTAGCAACCCTAGGCTTTAGGTTGGTACCCATGGGCCCAGACACCAGGCCAGCCCCTGCAGATCCGGGCTGGCCTTTGTGGACCCAGGTGCCAGGACAGACTCCATGAACTCAGGAACAGGTGTCTCCCCATAGACTTGGGTGACAGGTGACCCCTCTATCAGGTTGGCCCCTACAGACTCAAGCTCAAGACCCATCCCAGCACCAAGTCAACCCCCAAGGATCTATGCTTCAAGCCAGTTCTCACACATGGGATCCAGGCACCCTGACTGAACCCAGCTTCCAGACCTGCCTGCCTGAGAACTCTAGCAACAAGCTTGCCCATGTACCTCACCAGACAGCTTGCCTGGAATCTCTGGATAGACTGACTTTCCCCAGACCCCTGAATGTCTCTAGTACTTGGCAGACATGTATATAATGAAAGTAAAATGATGAATAAATAAGTAAATGAATAAGGAAGTATATGTTCTTTAAAAAGAAAAACAACAGATTGAGGACAGAAATGTCTTTATATCCCAGTTGTGAACCATCCTATTCACACAGGAACATCACAATCCCATTTGGAAGCTGTTAACTGCTGGTTTTAGATGACACTGAAAATGATTGTTGGGCTAATCCTGATTGGTTCTAGTTCTGCTGAATGTTTTATGGTAGGAGCAGATGTACTCTTGAAGCTCTATCCAATTGCATCAAAATGAGACACTGCAGTCCTTGGCTTTCAAAAACAACATTGATTTTGCTAGTGGCAAACCAATATTTGTCGCAACATCAAGCATTATTGATGGTAGTCACAATTGATTAAGGCAAAGAAAGCTTGAAAGAGTGAAGTACAATCCCACTCCTGGGAAGATGTGGCCGTATGAAAAACTTAATTGTGCCTGAGTGATTTAAATGTCTTAACTTACTGTATTTCCATAAGCATAAAGCTTAAAACTGGGATAGACTTCAGCCAGAAAGGAGGCAAAGCCCATAAGCAGTAAAAAAAAAAAAAAAAAAGTTAACCTCTTTCCCACCCCTGTGGGAAACACTCCTGTGCCTACACATTTTTTACCATTGGGCTAAAACATATATTTCAAAACTGTATATGGAATTTGAAAGTAAACTTAAAACATTCTAGAAATAAGACAATCATGTCTAAAGACTGTGATTACTTTTCTTCCTGATAAGATCTGTATTGTCTATATGTCCCTTGTTGAAGAAAAGAAGTTATCACAAGATTTTTGTATAGGAATCTCAGTTTTATTTTAGTACAGGCTTTATTTCTATGAAACATAAGTTGACCAGTATCAGGAAAGACAGGGATCAGTAAATGTAGACCCCAACAAAAAGAAAGTAATAGGTAAAAAAGAGAGATAATGATGGGAAGGAGAAAGAAAGTGCCAAAAATATATCTCCTAGGATCAAAAGAACAGGATAATCAGCTAAAGGCTGGAATTAATTCAGAAATTGAATTTGGCCCAAAGAAATAACCATTTGGTGAATTTCTGGACAAGAAACTGAAGAGGAAATGAAACCAGTCCATTGTTAGTAATTACAGATGAGAGATCTGTCCCTAAAATTTGGAACACAGCAAGCCAGAAGGAAAACCAGAATGAATCTGGTTTAATTAGAGAAGGAGAAAAATGATAATTAGTGTGTGGAGTCATGAAGTTGGGGACAAGAAACTAGACCTACGTGTTAGGCTAAATCTAGCTGTATTGTAAAATGACGCCCTGTAACTTTAATTTTCCTTCTATCTAGAACAGAAAATAGCATTTTCTCAAATGCTATTGCATTTAAATGGCTAGTAGATATATGTGCTGATAATTCAGTCTAGGGGAGAGTTATTGACCAGCACAAAGAAAATAGATCATGTCCAAAGAATGAGGGCTCTTTCTTCATTCTGCCCTGAGAAACACCAAGTCGCTTTTGGTTATAACTGAAAGACAATCAACTCAAGCAAAATGGCTATATACTGGCTCTTGGGTTCCAAAGTAAGGTGGCCAACTAAGGGCAGACATGCAGCTGAGCCTCAGCCCCATCTGGAAGAGGGGGCTCAGACCCCTCCAGGATTCTGTTTCTTCTGTCTGCTTCTCTACTCATCCCCTTCATTTCACCTCCTAGCAGCTGCTGCAGAGGTTCATCTGCTGATTGAGCTTGAGCCTCACAGTCTGACGTTTCCATCAAAGGAGATTAACCATGTCTCTTCTTCATTTCCAGCTGGGAAAACCCAAAGGGTGAACTCTGATTTGACCCCATTTGTGTCAATCAGCTAAGTTGAGAAAGTGAGATCTCCTAAGAACATGGCAGCTCCAATTAGAACCACGTATGTACAGTGTGTATATGATGGAGAAGCAAAAGAATGAGAACAGAAGAAAATGGGGGAATTTATCATAGGATAATTACAAAAGTAAAAAGGATGATGTTCCTAGCACAAGGGGGTTTCTAGGCAGACTAAAAAATTTTCAATGTTTCTATCAGACATCTCATTAGATGCTAGAAAGAAAGACGTTTTGATCTTCTACATACATTCCAGGATAAAAATTGATCTTTTCGTGACCAGCACAAAGAGAAGACCTACGTCTCTTAATTGTGAGAGAGGTCAGTTGGTCCAGAAATCGACATTCTTCAGTTGTCTGTGACAATAAATAGAGCACCAACTCAACAGTCCATCACCTGGAGAGGTTTCTAGACTCTCAATCTGTGGGACCCAGTGATGCTTGTGCATTTTGCTGATTCCTGGGTACCCCTAAGAGATTTCGCTCTCCGCTATCAGCTGAGTAAAATGCTCTGGTGATTCTACTTCTCCTCTAGTGTATTCTTCAGAGTCAGGGAAATTCACAATCAGTCTATGTCAATGGCACAGGAACAATTTTGCTAAAAAATCTGAGTGTCACTGGTGACATAAATTCAAAAGTGCTATTATTTCATTGCCCATTATGAATCAACCACCTACTGATATATTTTTTAAAGTTATCTACGTTTCAAACTGACATAAATCCTGAGAATAAAATGTAGCACCCACATCTAACGTGTAATTTGTTTTTCTTGAGATACCCCTTTCAAGCAGGAGCAAGACAAATAATGGGAACACAGATATTTGATCATCTTATTTTAAAAAAATTAGCATCTGCATTTCAGTATTGCAGAACATGACATGACAATTTTTTAATTCCTACTCCGACACAATTTAAATGAATTACCAATTAAAATATGACTAACAAATTATTCTGGGACCAAATGAAGATCTTAGGCCAAATGGTAACATTAAGTAATGTTTCACTTTAAATTTATGTCTCATATAAGGTCACAAAAAATAAAAAAGTCAAGTGTAAAATGTAAGTGCAAAAAATTGAGATATAATATCAGTTTCCACAAATACAACTTCAATTATGTAAAATCACCTGAGAAAGAGATCTACATGTATCCATTTTCTAGATAACAAGATTAACCATTTGATGGGAATCTTTTCCAGCATACAACCCTTCCTTGACTTTTTCTTATCAGTTTAGGGACTGGGTTGTATGCACTGAGGCTCTTTGGGATGGTTAAGTAGGTACAATTGCTGCTCCCACCCTAAGTGTCCCAGGCTGTAGTGTTTGCCAAATGGCTTTGGTTTTGTAACCTCTTCCTTTGATATTGATGAAAGAATACATATTCTACCCTCTTGACTTGTTGCTTCTACCTGCTATTACCTTGGGAAAATTGAAAAAAAAAATCTTGTTTAAATTATTAAAAGAAGTTTCTAAACATCACTGAGGGAGTAGAGGTATTGTCTATTGAATTAAAATTCAGGGAGTGTGTGTCAGTTATCAGCTTGATATAAGACGTATGTTCTGGAGGAATGAATTAACTAAAGGTCTCACCCAAAAGTAAGTGAGATATCACTGGGTTACTGAATACAGATGAGTGGCTTCTTTTTTCCTTTAACGATGGAAGTATTCTAGAAGAAATATGCCTAAATCAGAGGCAGAAGACCTCTATTCTAAGGACACATCTAGTCATAGACCTGAGTTCCACAAAGTAATAGCATATTGTGGTAGAAAGTATATTAGAATGAGAGCGGAGAGATTTAGAGTATAGATATCTATCTATTTTCAGCCCTGTCACCAACTAGTAACATGACTTTGGGCAGAAACTTACCTTGTTCTTGGTTCCATTCCCTTATAGAGCATAACTAGGTAAGTTCAAAGGTCCTTCTAGCCCCCAAAGCCAATGATCAAACCCTATAAGGCACTTGAGAGATTGGGGGAATCTCTTCCAATAAAATGTGATATACAAAAATAATTGTGATTCTACAAAGAATGAAATGAAGGCTATAAGCAAACAGTCAAGAGGGAAAGTGCAACAGAACCTATGAGTCAACTTGTGGATGTTCTGCTCCGGGTGATAAAAT